TTACCAACATATAAATTAGTTGTATTTGGATCACCTGTATCATGAGAACCAGGGCGATCTTCAAAAGCTGAATAAATGGGATTTTAAAAAAAATCAATAATATATATATACACTTTTTCATTATAATTAAGTAAATTTTTATGTTATATTATTAGTTACCTGCTTTAACAGTAAGTGAAGCATTTAAATTTTCATCACCACTACTAATCTCTAACAATATAAATACAAATATTTTAGATACTTTGAATAAAAATTTTTAGATAAATCAATTTATTCACTTACCATTTGGTACACCAGCTCCTGCTAATTTTGCATGTTTTTGCTTTAATCTATCTTCTCTCTCTTCTTGTTCACTGTCAATTATTTAATAAATTAATTAAAATTTTAAATTAATTTAATTAAAGAAAAAATAAAAATTCACAAACCGCTTAATTTCCTCTAAAAATGCATCCAAATTACGTTTTCTCTTATTTCTATCTTCTTTAACTTCCTCCTAATACATATATTTGTTGTTTTGTCATTCTGGTTAATAATATTTTTCATCACTATGAATATACAATATAATTATCTTAAAATATTCTAATAAACCTCTTTATCATTATAATGTTCTGTAGCATCAGGCTTAGGCTCAACTTTCATGGCTGCAATAAATGGTTGTGGTTTATAAATCTTTGGAAGAGGTATAGTATTCATATCCTCAGATGATTCTTTTTTAATATTAGCAGCTTCATGGTCAAATAATACTATATTTTGTAAAAAAAAAAAGTTTAATTCAATATTATTTATTTATGATAATAAAAAAAAACCTAATCAATCAATAGAATAATTACATTTGGGTACAATTGTTTCTCCTTTAACAAAAGCTTTTCCTGCACTATCATCTTTTTCAAATGAAGCAACAAATTCTGCATAAACTTTTGCAGCTTCCTCAGACTCTTGCTAAGTATTATTTTTTATTTTTCCAATATACATAATAATAAATTTATGAATATGATTTTAAAATAAAGAATTATTATTATTATTATTATTATTATTATTATTATTATTATTATTATTATTATTATTATTATTATTATTAATGCTAACCTTCTTCTTTAATTCAAGTTCCTCCTTATGTCTCTGAAACGGTGTTTTTTTATGTGTTCCAATGCTAAATGCTTGAAGCTTATTTTTAGTTAAAGCCTGGAAACATTTGAAAAAAATATTTTCAAGTTTTTTTGTTTGTTGAGGAAATTAAAAAAAAATTTTTCCTTTGACAATTTATTGTTTTAATAATTAGAAACATAAGAAAAGTTAGACTACTTTAGCAGAACCAGGTTTAGTTGAATTTATGCCCCAAGGTAATTTCTTTTCGTCAGACATTTTTTATGAATGATTTTTTTTGTAAAATTCGCAACTATTTTTATTACTACTACTGTACTAGTACTAGTACCAATTTAATGATTTCAATTATCACGTGAATAAACCAAATTCAGCTATATAAAATTCTAAATCACGCGACCTTTTCGTTGTCAAAAAATTTAATTTCTATTACTATGTACTATTTCATTAGGTATTTTTCTATGTGTTATACTCTATGAGTCTTAATGGGTACTTCTCTATTTGTTTCAATGTTACAGAATCAAAAAGCCCTTCTTGTAAACTTTCCAGGTATAGTTGCAATGTTGTCTTACATACATTTTGGCACCCCAATACATTTCTATATGGGATATACTGCAACAAAATCCATAATAATAAGACAAAGTGAACATTATGTCACACAATTACAGGGATCAAAATTATTACTGGCTTTCAAAATTATTTTAAATGTGCATATACTATTACAATTACATTTTTGTTCCATCTTTTGCATAATGGTCCATGATCACAAATTCACTGTGTATTAACAAGAAAACTTGTTCAAGCAGACAATTTTTTAAACAGCTGTACATCTTGTTTTGCCAGGTGGTTTCAGACATTGATCCATCCCTTAAAACTCTGTATGGATTTCTCAATGTATTCAAATCCATTAATGAAAATGTCTTTATTATTATTATTAAAATGTTCAAAGTGAACTCGTCATCTAAATTTGAATTGATTCTGAGGAAGTTTCTTATATTAACAGAAGCTTGTCAATGCTTCCCATGTAAAAGTTGCAACCATAAACCAAAATAAGTCATATATCTATGATGATATGGTATTCTTCTTTCTAATAGCTGCTCAGGATTTAAAATTATTTGATTTTGTGTTGTCACTTTAGGACACAATAATAATAATGGTACTTGAGAGGGTAAGAGAGGGCAAAGGACAGATAACAAATTCAATAAATATTTAGTTGTTTCTATTTGTTTCTATGTATGTGATATAATAAACTTTGCTTTTATCATCTTTGACTTTATTGTCACTTTATTATCTCTAGCGATGTTGACATCTATTGTTTCATGCATCAGTATGCTTTTTAGAAAATATTCTTGATAGTCCATTTTGTCTAATAGTTTCTGTCCATCATTGTAAAATCGACCTTTCATACTCTTTTTTTCAGCATGTGATAATTCCTCCCATTTTCTAGCTGTGAAATTGGATAATAAGTTGGTGGTTTATTGGAATTACTGCGACAATAATAAAGTTAATTTATTTTATCACTTTTTATATATAATAACTATGTTCACTCTTATTTAATTTCCTAGAACAAGATGTAGATTTATAATAAATTACATGCAATTTTGGCTGCACAACAAAAGTTGAAATGATTGTGTATCATCTATATCTCTTAACCATATTATTGATTTATCCAATAATGAAGTGTTAATAAGTCATTAATGAAAGTCAAATTAAATGGCTTGATATAGTTCTCCAACAAAAATCCTGGAAACAAATAGGTGAATTTCAGCAGCATATAAATCAATTCACTGGGATGGATATGATAGAATAAACATTCCAATTCTAGTTCATGAGTCCTTTGTTCCAAAGGGATCATTTAATTCTTATCACCATGAAGCCCATGATATCATGCAACAGATTTCAATGTGTTTACTTGGAATATTTGACAATTCATCAACAGTAGACTTAATTTGTTCTTTTATAAATAGTTTTAGCAAAAAATTGTCATGTAATAAAAATCTCGAGACAAATTTTTTTTGTATATAAAATCCAACACGTGGATCACATGATATTTCATAGATGATCTGTACTGTAGGAAGATATAGCTAACCCCAACAATAGTGAGTGATAACATAAAGATGATAATAATAAAACAAAGTATAATAATAATAGTGGAGGTGGTTTATAAAGCACTTTATTTTTATGTGCTATTTTGCACATGATTTTTTAAATGTCATTGATTTACGTGATAAATGAAGAAGACATTTTGTGAAGAGTAAGGTGCCAATTATCAAAACCCCCAAATGCGAAACTCTGCCAAAACTCTAATAAACAATTAGTGTGTAACATGTTGAAACTCTACCGATTGATTCTGGAGGAGTCTTGGCAAGAAACCACAGTGAAGAGGGCAATATTACAGAGAGCGGACCCATTAACATTTATAAAATATGTATTGTTGCCATTGTATTGACTTAACCTCCAAATACCAAAGTTCATAATCAAAGGACCAGAAAAATATGGCAGCGATGTTACTTGTACAGATTATGGGCGATGATTTTAGATAAAAACCCCATCCTGGAGATTCAAAATTGTCAATTATACAAAATATTAATGCAGTATTAAAAAGAAATGGGAAAGCGATTCTGAACTTAAAGAATGGTCAAAATGTACGTCCAGAGCTAGCTGCTAAACTGTTGAAATAAGAAAAAAAGTAACAGTAAAAATTCTAATATATTTACTATTTCACAAAATCAAAGCTTATGTATATTTTTATCATAGAAGCTTCAAAAAATTTATCTAAAATCTCTAATTATATATATGTGTGTGTGTGTGTGCGTGTTTATTCACATTTCTTTTCCACAATAGATTTTCCCCGTTCATTATATTCATCACGTGATATCCATAATTGATGAAAAGTTCCTAAAGATGCTAAAATTGAGCCACCTAACCAACTACTACATTTTCGTTCAATACTATTGCCTGGCGCATGAATTTTGACTTTTAACTATTAATTAGTAATAAATAAATATATATTAATGTATAAAAAAAATTAATGATTTAGATAAGTTATCATTATTTTTACCCCAGGAGACATCATAGTCAATTCATAATTTAATCTATCAGCAAATCCAGGCAATAATGTAGTTCCACCGGTTAATATAATATTATTTAATAAAGTTGGACGAATATCAATATCACATGAAGCCACACTATTATGTATCATCTGATGGATACTCATCAACGAAGATGTGTCAATTTCAGCACCCTCTTGAAGCTAATTGGCAAATATGGGAATTATAAATATTGAAAATAAATAATAAAATAATAGTATCAAATTTAAACCTGATGCATATTATTTGTTGGAGAAAAAAGAACTTCTGGTATACTGAATCGTGGAGTGCCAAAAGATGTATTGAATCCATCTGGAAATTCAAAACTTTTTAATGGTCGAGCAGCAATAACCCTGTAATTAGTTAATTATTGTTAGTTTGTTTGATTGAAAAAAAAAAAAATTAAATTAAGTGAAGTAATTAAAAAATAATAATCAAGAAAATAATTACTTACAAGTCATCATATGTTGTTTCAAAAACTTGGCATACAGATTCTTTGAATTCTTGTATTACTTTCTAAGCCAATTATTATATACATACATACATACATATATTTTTTTTTTGCTGAAAATCAGCAACGCATTTGTTTAATTTTAGAAAGGTTTAGGTTAATTTAGTGAATTTTAATAATTGATTTTTTTACCATTTGCATGAATCTATGGTAACTTTCAGTGGTATTTGGCCTATCTCGCAATTCTATATTTGCAGGCATGTCTGGTTCAACAACATTAAGTTTTTTTGCTATCAAATAATGTGGAATGATATTAATATTAAGTTTTTGTTGAAATAATTGCATTATTTGTTCTGAAATAAAATCCCCTGCAATGGATTGTTTATAAATTCCTGTAAAAATTTTAAATCAAATCATATTTTACTATATTAATATTTATCTTATTATAAATATTAATTTCAATTAATGCAAATATTTGAATTAAACCTTTTTTTAAAACATATCCATCAACAACTGGAACACAGCTTGTAGTATTTGCTCCACAATCTAAAACAATTGCTGTCGGACGACCAGTTGCAAATCTATTTAATTTCCGGTTGTTAAAGATTTTTACTTTTAATGTTAATTATCTCCTCCCAATTATATATATATATGTAAATGAGATGACGAGTAACATTTAAAGGATACGAAGTTAATACTGGATTTTTTGCGACGTAAAATGCCAAAGTTTTATATTTTTCAAATGCAAGTTCGGTAAGAGTTTCTCTAATCTCACGAGTATTCCAAGCAGGTTCTGTTATAAACAATGGATGTTCACTAGGATCAACATTTAATCTTTTTTCTAAAGCATAATCCCAAATTTCTTCTAAACCATCCCAATCTTGAACTATATTGTTAAAGAAAAAAATTTTTAAGAATTAAAATAATCATAAGAGATAATGATGATAAATAATTGATAATAATAATATAGTGATGTTAAAATCTTACATACTTAAACCATCAACAAATGGATTTTTAATTTGCATATTTTGTCTCCAAGTAGCAATTTCCGAATCACCTACTATATATCTTCCTTTTTTAGTTTTATTTTGTTTATTTATCTTGTTTGCTTCTGATTCTTCATCAGCTTCAACCTTTATAGCTTCTTCATCCATTATAGTATCTCCATCGGCTGTTACACTCCCAACTTCAGGTTCTGGAATGTAACCATAAGAGGTTGGAAATATTGCTTTTGGTGCATCTTCACCTGCATAACCAGCACGAGTCCAACAAGAGCCAGCATCTAAAATAAGAGCTGAAACTTCATCTATCAAATAACAAAATTTTTATAGATCAGTTTGTTTATTTATGTGCATTTGTTTTATAGTTTTTACTAAACATAATAATAACCTCCTCCAAATGTAGCCATTACTTGAGATTAATATAATATAAAAAAGTTTTTAGATCTTTGGGATTGAAAATTTTTTTAAAAAGGTCACACAAGGTTTTTTTATTTAAGATATCTTCTTAAGATTGTTAATTTCTCTTCATTTTTAAGTTTCTGGTTTGGGCAATTTTAAAGTTTGTCAGAAATAAATGGTAAGTAATCTGGATCTTCACTGCTATTGCCACCAATTATGGGTGAATGAACGAAATTAATTGATGGCAATGAAATAAATTGGGTGGGATCAGACCAAATTGCCTTTACTAGCGAATGGCTTAGGGCCTGATTTGATTTGATATGGACTTTGTGAAAGCCTCCCTCTAATCTCTGTAGATTTTTTCCTACAGATAGGATAAGCCGCTCGTATTGGTAGTTTTGGACAAGTGAAAAGTTAACAGTCTCTTCAGCAACAATGCAATAAATCGACACCCTACTTTGAAAACTTCTTGTTGCATTCATCAGTGACCACGTCAAAAACCAGACGTAAAAGAGATACAATCGGCAAAAAACCTGCACGAAAATCGCACGACTTACGGGTTTGGGAGGAGGTCGTAACACGGCAAATGTTAATATTATGAAATAAATAAAAATCATTTTTGTTTTTTATTTTTTGAATTTTTTAAATTTTTTGAATTTTTTTGTTGTAAAACAATTTCTTGTTTCTTTGATTTCAAATTTGCAACTTTTTCTTCTTGTTTTCTTTTTCCATACTGTATTTTAGAATATAAACTTTTCTGTTTCTTTGACATCATGATCTTTGCCAATTCTTTAATTTCTTGTTGTTCCTCAATTTCTTTAATTGGTCGTTTTTTTCCTGCTAATTTTGTTGTAGTTGTTGCCTTTTCAATTTGAGAAGATTTTGCTTTTTTAGATGTTACTGGATTTTTATTTTTTTGTTCTTGGAATTGAGAAAATGATATTCCTTTTGCTTCTGCCTCTAATTCCAATTGATGAACCATATCTTCATCATCTGACTGTATTTTTTTAAAACAAAAAAGGCAAAAAAATATATTAGATATATATATGTGTGTGTGTAATACAATTAATTAAATTATGGTGATGATGCAAATTCGGTACCATATTTTCTAATGTCTTTACAACTTTTGTTGATTTATTTGGTTTATTTACTTTTGCCTTTTCTTGCTCACTATCAACACTACTGCAACTACTATCATCGCCATCACTTTCATCCTCGTCCTCATCCTCGTCCTCGTCCTCATCCTCATCATCATCATCATCATCATCCTCATCCTCATCCTCATCCTCATCATCATTATCTCTTAGTTTATTATTAAGTTTTTCAGTGTTTTCTTCAATAACTCCCTCAAATTTATTATCACCATCATTGTCTGCTGGAATATAATCGCCTTCTTTATACTCCACAAAAGGTGATAAATGTGGTGGGAGTGTTTTACCAATAGCGTATTTTTCACATATTAACAATTTCTTTGAATTTATACAATCATAAATCCATTGAGGTTGAACATATACACGTGTTGGATAACAATTGTCAACAGATGGTCGATCAACAATTTGATGTGTGATACGTTCATAATTTTCCTCATATGGTGAGCCCATACCCATACTACTATCCCAACCAACTTTTCCACCAAAAGCTTTAATTATAAATTCCAATGAATATTTTGGTACTTCACGAGATAAATAGAATACACATTTGGAAAAAAGTTGTTGTAGTTCTGTAATAGCTGCTGAAACTGTTTGATATGTGAATACTTTGGTATCATCATCATTCTTCTCTTTTTGAAAATTGGAATTGGTTTTGGTTTGATCTACAAACTCATCCAATGTCTCCTAGAAATATATATTATATATTTAGAGAAAAAATCATTTTTCAAAAATTTTTTTTTTAGAAAAAAATAGATATAACATACAATTTCTTCATTAGTAGTAATATCTTCTTCATCTTTTAAAAGATCTATTTTTGGTGGATAAACTGAATTTGCATCTGAATATAATTTGAAATTAACAAAACTAACCAAAGTCTGATAAAACTCTAAAAATGTCAACATAACACGAAAATCAACATCATCCGGGACCTTTTAACAAAAAATTATTATTATCTAAATTAATTTGTTATTACTTATTATAAATTTCAAATAAGAACTTACTCGTTGACTAAATTGGTAAGGAACCAACCAAGTTATGGTTTGTCCTTTAATTTCTACTTGATAATAAATCCCTTTGATTGAAAGAAAAACTTTACGAAGACATTTGCTTTTTATTACATACTGTTGAAATTCTGAGCATAAACGTTGACAATTTCTAACAATTTCTACTTTGATTTTGTCAGTAGCAGGATAGGTACCAAATAAAAATATCATACAAAGCGCATCATCAAGATCTCTTAAAGCATCAGTGAATGTTGGATATCTTTCTTTGATAATATGATCTAAAGTATAAACAGGTCTGTTTTTTTCTAAATTATTTGCAACGCTGAATTGACGTTTTCCTAAAGCTTTACTTAACTTTCTTAGAAAAATTTTATTTTCTCTAAGTTTTCTAAGAATGGGCTCATGTGCAAGATATTGTATATCTTTAGTATAATAAAATGTAGTAGGTGCTGTTGATCCTCTATTGGCTTTCTTTTTATTTTTAGGTTCTCTAGGATAAATTCCTTTAAGAATACATAGTCGCCTTTTTTTAATTAATTAGATGTTAATATGTTAATATGTTAAAAATATTAAAATGCATTATCATTAACTTTTTTTCTGTAAAAAAAAAACCACCTAAAATCAGCAAGTGACAATTGTAGCTTTTTTACAGCTCGATTTCTGGTAATGTAGTTAGTGGCAATACCCGATTCACCTTTTTTCTTAATTTTCCCCATCGATTTTAAAAATTTTTTTTAAAAAAAAACCGTATCACGCACAATAGATTTACGGATCTGCAATTTTAACACAAAAAAAAAGATTGAACATTTACCGTGTCACGATCTCCGTAAGTCGTGCGACTTTCGCGCAGGTTTTTTGGCCGATTGTCTCTTTACGAAATGCTTCAATCATGCCTATACATTCATTTTGCAAAGCTGGATTGCAAGCTCCATAGATCTTGACTTTAGTGATTACTTCGATCAAACCCGCCTATATGATTATTTAATACCCTTATTATTATTATTATTATATCAAAATCTCCAAATTACAAAGCTTTTGCCTATAATATCTTGCCGAAGAACGATGACCAATACAAGCACACTAACTTCACTTCATATTGAAATATCATATTCCTAATCAATATTTAATTTTTATTTCAGATATTTTTATTAACGGATAGATTATTTATTTATTTATTTATAAAGAAACATTTAACAAACAAAAATACCCCAAATGCCTTTTGGCAATTCATCATCATCATCCTTGTCTTCTTCATTATCATCAATGTGTTCGTTAGAGTAACTAGATCTAAAATCATAATAATCGAATATTTCCATAATATCTATCATCTTTTTTTGATCTTTATTAATCTAATGATAAACTTTGATATTTATATGCTGGTAAAAAAAAAAATCTGCCGTGTGTTTTCGAGACTTTGAAAGTTCTTTCCACGTCAGTTAAAAAATAACTGCACACATTGCCAACTGAAATCTTCAAAATATAAAGATTTTTTTTATGACATAATTTTCAATTTGTCTCTTCCGAAAATCTATACCGATAAAAGAAAATCGTCACGCGAAACAAAATAATTTCTATTTTTTTTTTTTTAAAAAAAAATGAAAAACAATTTAACGCGTACAAATAATGAAGTTGATAATAACCTTTTACTACCACAACCAGTAGCAAAAAGGCAAAGAAAACAAGAAAATGCAGTGGATCAAATAGCTACCACCACTTCAAATTTCTTAGATGTTATAGATTTAACAGAAGAACAAAAAAAGATTGTATTACAACGTATGCAAGAAGTAAAAGCAAGATATCAAACTTTTGTAGAAAAAGATTCAAGCCAAAAGGCAAGTTTATAATAATAATAAAAGTAATAATAAAAATTTTATATTTTATATTATAAAAATAACAAAAGAGTTTGTATAATATGATGGTTTATTTTATTTTTAATAGATTCAGGCTATCTTATTTGCCTCGGATCTTGTAGAAGAAGAAGCAAGATTGGCTTTATCGATTTGTAATTACAATGAACAAGAAGTTCTTAATAAATTATTTGGAAAAAATGGCAACCAATTTCGTAAATTACTAAAACCTGCTTCACAAGATATAGATTCAAACAAACATATTGATCAGTGTGCAGAACTTCAAATAAATGATCATAATGAAGACGAAAATGATAACAACAACAACAATATTGATTACGATGATGTTGATGTTGATAATGAGAGAGATTTTGATTCTAGTGATTTTGATAGCATTGATGAAAACATTTCTTCTTTGAATTATATAAAGTTTCCTTTAGATTTACCATCAACCACTACGACAGTGATTAGTATTGGCACTTATCATAAGTCTCCTACTTGGTGGTCAAATCCTGGTTCATTATATCATCATCCAATTCCTATTAATTATAAAGCCACACGCATCGAATGGAATAAGATTTTTGAAATGACGATTGAAGAAGATCAAAATACAGGAAATCCGCTTTTTAGAGTTACAGCAAAAGGAACAAATTCTACCTTTATTGGCTCTACACCCACCAAACCATGGACTTCAGTCTGTGTTTCGTATAAAAAATCTAGAGGTATAAATCTAAAGTTTTTTTAAAGGAAGGTTTAAATCATTGTTATAATATTATATTCAACATAATTTCTTATTATTAATTGAAAATTTAGCAACACGTATTTCAGGACCTTTGTATTTTGGATTTTCTGATGTGTTATTGCAAAAGTTATTGACAAAAATGGTACAAGATAGCGATCCTGAAGAATACTATTATAGATTTGTTGGTGAAGGAGAAATGCTTTGCACAAATAAAGAATGGAACGAAGATGAAAGAAATTTATTGTTAACAGAAATTCATCAACATTGTAAGAATATTCGATCAAATACTTCATCATCATCATCATCATCATCATCATCATCGCCTAACATCAATGATGATTACAATAATAAGAGTGATAGTGGAATCATATTTCCATTTGGACTTGTTTCACAGAATATTTTAAATCGAGCAGGATTTCAATGTCAATATGAATACAATCGTCTAGTTACTACAGGTCAAATAAATGAGATTGATAATTGCCCAGTGAAACCATTACGTGTCAATTATGATAAGTTTGTTAAACAGCTAGTATCAAATGGCCAAATGAAAAGAGCAAGAAAATATTCTGGAAAAAGTGATAAAGATCTAATTAATATTCTTAACAAGTATGGCAGAGTTGGTAATAATAGTATTGATTTGATTGATAATAAATTTGGAATTAATTTTAATCCTCTGAATCCTGTTCTGCATCTGAAAGATGCTATAACTTTGGAAGAAATGAAAGAACCTACAATTTCTCCTGATGGGTAATTTTATTCAGATATATATTTGATTGTTCTGATTGTTGGTTTGTTTAAATCAATTAATTGTTTTTTTTAAAAAAAAAAGATATGTATGTGATTATCAAACTTGGATCAAGATTCTTCGTGATCCTGATGCCAAAGATACTTGTCCGTAAGTTGAAATCGTCATTATTGATAATAAATTATCAAAAAAAAATTTTTTTTATCAATTTCAATTAACTAATTTTATATTTAAAATTGTGTAGATTTACCAAAAAACATTTATCACGTCGTCAATTGGTTAAATTAACATATGATAACATTGACCAATACATTGATAAAATACGTGAATTATAATAATAATGATAACAATGAAAGTGTTAACGATGTTGTTGACGACGACGATTTGTTAAATTTTATTATATATTATTTATATAAATAGTATATAATACACAATAGTAAATAGATTCTTATATATTTATTAGATAATAATGATATAATTATTTTTGGTTGCTGGTAAATAAATTCATTTTTGTTAAAGAAAAAAACCACCACAAAGAGTTTAAAAAGGATTGCCCTTATTTTTCATTTTATTATATTTGAATCTATACTATTTTCCATGAATAACGTCATTTGGCATGCATTGCGACTTTTTGGATTTTGTCTATGGCGTCTGAGGGCATCCAATCTAATAAATATTAAAGTTTATTAACTAAATATATATATTATATGTATGCATGTATATAAATTTTTTTTAAAAAAATAATATTTATTTCTTTTAACCTTGAAAAATGTTTTGAGCAACCGTCACATTTATATGGCTTTACTTTTTCATGAGTTTTTTGATGTCGTTTTAGATCATGATTTCTTGCAAATGCCAACTCACAAGTTGAACACTTGTATGGTCGATCTGTTGAATGAGTACGTTGATGAGATTTAAGATTGTATAATCTAGCAAATGATTTATCACAATTAAGACATTTGTAACCAAGTGATTGATGAGTATCATCGTTATCATCATCATTATCACCCTGACTATTATTATTACTACTAATGCCGGTAATATCATCATCATTATTATTATCACCATTTAGATTTTCAGTTATAATGATAACACCATTATAATTATCGACAATTTCTTCGTTATTATCATTATTTTTAAAATCTGTTATATCGTCATTTGATGGTGATATTTTAAATCTTTTATTTGGATGTGAATTATTTGAAAATGATATTATTTTAAAATTTTCATCCATAAATTGTTGTGTAGAAATATTACTAGATTCCAGATGAATGATTGAATTATTTATATTATTATTTATTTCACCATTTGTGTTATAGTTTGTACAATCACTATAATTTTTTTGTTGTATTATGTTATTGTTATTGCTATTACTACTATTATTGTTGATAGATGTTGCCGTTGTAGATATTAAGAAAGCTTGAGGACCAGCAGAAAAAGATAAAGTTGGGATAAAAAATTGCAAATTTGTAGATAATTCGGGACTGTTGATATTTTGATTAAATGAAATATCATGATGAAATATTTTATTATTATTATTATTGCTAATGTTAGTATTGTTGTTATTATTTTCATCATCGCCATCATCGGCTTTATCATTTTCATTTCTTGAATATTTATGATTTATCGATGTTGAACCAGATGAATTAAATATGTTGGGAGAATTGGGCAATGAAGGGTTTGTATGAGTTGAGATTGTTGGGAATGGTAATAATTCTTTTTCGACATTTTGTGCCTGTATTGCTACAGAATGAAGTAAAGCAGTATCAACAGTTTTATTCCAATCTAAAGAAATATTTAAATGTTGCTGTTGTCGTTCTGTAGAAGATGTAGTAGAGTCGTCATGATCAAGTTGAGACTGTGACATTTTATCAGTTAATCCTCCTAGATCAGCATTAAAAAAGGTAGGGTGATGCTCCGCTAATATGTTTTTTACATTAAATCTATTAACAACATCATCATGATCATTTATGAAATGGCTCGAGCTAAGAATATAGTCAAATCTTTTTTTACACTGATATTCATTACGACCGGGAATTGTAGAAGCTATCTTTTCCCAATTTTCATAACCAAAATTTTTTACACCAATTTTTAATAAACTATCATCTTCAGAAGTCCATTCTGTTAATTCAAATTGAGAATTGAAATCTTCTATAATATTAATATTATTACTATTTTTGTTATTATTGTTGGAATCTTCTTGTTTTAATAAAAATTTTTCTAGAATATCCAAGTTCTCTTTTAATATTGTATGATTAAAGCTATTATTAGCATTGTTAATGTTATCATTATCATCACGATGATGAATAATAATATCTTTACCATTAATATGATTATTATTATTGTTAATCTCATGATCGTTATTAACATCATTAACATCATTGTCGTCATCATCATTGTCATCATCACTACCATCATTTTGTAAATTGGAAGTTAACCTTAATAGTTGTAATGCTTGCGCAGCAGCAGTTTGTTCTTCTAAATCGTCAACATGTCCAATAGAATTCTTATTTTTTTTAAAATTCGCATTATTATTATTATTATTATTAAAAATTTTCAATGATGGGTCATTATAATCATCATTTAATTGTGGTCTTGATGTTGATTCCATTAATTGATTTTTATTATTATCGATGTTAACATTATTATTGATATCGCTATCACTATCATTGTTGTTGTTGTTTCCGCCACTACGTACTGTTGGCATATCAGCAAAATTTTGTAAAATATTTGAATCTATCCATGCATCAGTCGTTTGATCTTGCGGCATTTCCTCTTCCAAGTTTTTTTGAAAAGAATATATCATTTACTGGAAATTCACTAAAAAAAATAAAGCAAAAGCCTATTTGACAAATAAAATTTATATATTTATTACTAAAAAATCTTGGTTACTTTAAAAGGAAGTTTACTTTATTATAATATATTAATATTTATTTTTCCGAAAGGTTTTGGAAAATTAAAATATGTATCAAAAAAATTTAGTGGCTTATACAATTTTTTTTTATTTAAAAATATGTATATACATAATTCTGAATTAAAAAACGATAACAATAATGTTGATAAATAATAAATTATTAAATACGAATTAAGTTTCGTTTCCAATCCTTATTTTATTATATATTTCAGTCCTTGATGTCCTAAATGCATTAAGCCTTTGCCACGCAAATTCCAGATAGTCGAATTCTATTTGGTCTGCACAATGCCCCACAATCCCCACATGACGTGACTTGCTAAAGAGCAACCATTGGCCTCTAACATTAATTTTTTTTTTAGGAAAACTATCTTCCCCATCATTTTTGTTTTTTTTGATGCTGATAATAATGCATCCAAATATGATTCCAAAAAATTGAGATACCAATCTAAATGTGCTACGTGAGGATCATGTGAGTCGTAATTAAAGGTCCACTCGCAGAAATGGTTGCCAATATCAAAACCTCGGTGATTCCAACCAGAATATTCAAAATCAATCATTGTTGGCTGATTTGATCCATCAGTAAGACGAAGTATATTCTCATATTGGGATTATTAAATGAAAATAATTAAATTATTCAATTCAATTCAATTCAATTCAATTCAATTCAATTCAATTCAATTCAATTCAATTCAATCGATCGATCGATCGATCGATCAATCAATCAATTTTCTACTTACATCATTATGTCCAAATATGATTGGCGAATTAACCATTTCTAAAATACGTTTTAATTCTTCCACCTCTTCTTTTAATGACTCCAAATTAAATCTTTTTATACTAGAATTTTCAACTATATCCCGTGATAATGATAATTCATACCATTTGTCAATGTTTGACCAGACTTCTGGAACAGTACTTTCAATATCGGCAGGGACTGGAATTTCATGCAATTTAAACATAGATGAAGCTATTTTCCGAGAAATTTCTTTATCTCGTATTTCGTCTTTGTCAGAGGTACTGCATCCAGATATTATTCGAATCTACCATTATTAAAAATGGATAATAACCGAGGACCAACGTTTACTGTTGATAACGTTTTCATATTGGCTAATTCTTTTTTCTGTCCAATAATTTATCCATAAATCCTCAAAAGGATTTTTTTATTCGATTTCGATGTAATAAAATAGACATTATTTGTTAATGCCCCTTCAATGGCTTTAATACTAATGTCGTTTGCATAATATCGGCCCAACCATCTATATTTTGTTTTTAATGACAATGTTCGCCGATCATCATCCGTTTTATAAAATAATCCTAATCATAATCATAATCATAATCATAATAACTATAAAATATTTACGGTAAAACTAATTGTAGTATCCAATGTGGGAATACTTCTTTCCTTTGATTCCTTTAATTTATTTTTACTTTGGTGATTTTTTAAAAAGTGACGACTAATTATATTTGAGAATAACTTAAAAACGTTATAACAACTATTATTTTTCTTTGGAAGTATTGTGGCACTTTTCTTATTGAATAAGTGAGGAAATGTTTTTTTTGTTTCTGGTTCTACAGTTTCTGTAACAATTGTTGCTTGTTTTATCGTAGTCATTTTTTCTGTTGTAAAAGCGAGTTCAGTCGTTTGCATTTCTAATGTTAACATATTTATTAAATAGATTTTTAATTCTTAATTGGAAAAATATTGATTATTAGAAAAATATTGGAAAAATAATTATTGATTATTAGAAAAATATTTAATATTGAATTATTTATGTTTATATTTTGTTCATTTTATTGGTCCACAATGACACCTTGTGACATCGCAAAAAAAGAAATAATTTTATTATTAGTGTGTTTTTGAAAATGTTAAATCTCTCAATTATGTGTTACAAAAAAAACCCCCGTAAAGATGACTTACTTTTTTGATTGCACACAAAAAAAAATCTTTGGCTTATAGAGATAACTTTTAATAGGTAGATAATAAAAAACATCGGCGGTTTCTCGCGTATATTTGTACTATAAACAAAGTTATCAATTTGTGATCCGTTAAAATTGAATTGCATTTAAGGTCGATCAATAAAAACTAGAGATGGGCAGATCAGTACTATACGTATAGTGCGTATAGTTCTAGAAAAATATAGTAGTAAATGTAAATCAATTC